TTTATGTTTGTTGTCTGTAGGGAAAATGCAGGGGACGTGAAGGCTAAGTTCATAGTGGAAGCGGCAAACCATCCAACTGATCCAGAAGCAGATGAGGTTTGTCTGTTCTGTCCTGCCCTGTCCTGTTTTGTCCAGTTTTTTTGGAAAGAAGAAGGGATAAAATGGGGGTTATGCATATATACAGATACTGTCGAAGAAAGGGGTGGTGATACTGCCGGACATATACGCGAACGCGGGGGGGGTGACGGTGAGCTACTTCGAGTGGGTGCAGAACATACAAGGGTTCATGTGGGAAGAGGAGAAGGTGAACATCGAGCTGCAGAAGTACATGACCAAGGCCTTCCACAACATCAAGTCGATGTGCCATTCCCATTCCTGCAACCTCCGCATGGGCGCTTTCACTCTCGGCGTCAACCGCGTCGCCCGAGCCACCCTCCTCCGCGGCTGGGAAGCCTGATAATAATAGCCAAGAACAATGGACGATACCCTTCTCTTTTCCCTTTTCTGAATCTTTTTCCCCCCAACCCTTCATATTTTTATGAGATTAAAAAAAAAAGCATTTGGTATTCAAAAAAAATAAAGAAAGAATCTAGGATTTGATTGTTGAGAGAGGAAGAGCTTCTTTTTGCTGTGTTAATGGCAGATTTCCTTCCACTGTATCCTATAAATCTAATTTATGGTTCAGTAACAGTTGACCATTGTTGTGGAGATCAGTTTCTTGTTTTCAAAAAACATTGTTGTCTTCAATCAAAGGGGTCAATCCGAGGGTCATGCTCGCTGGCCATAGCCATTCCAGTGCACAGACATGTTGGGCACATCACCTGAAACAGCGTACCATCCATTTTAGTTGCAGTGTCTTAAAAGGGCATCTCTCAGTTGTCCTTTTTTTTTATAGAATTGGGTGTTTTTGTCACCTTTCCAGATCCAGAACAGTTTGGACATCTTTCGGTTCTGGGAGGTGATAGAGGATGATCCCCACCATCAACAGTTGACACTGGTTCTATCAGGACAAGGGAACCTGTGTTTGAGCAACGTGCACATGCTAGATACCCTGTAGTAATATTATCCATCCGTACCACATGCTTGTAAGTAAAAACGGCGAATCATTCAGACAGTCTTGATTCCTTTGCGTTTTTGAAGCACTTACCTGTTCCAAGACAGTACTTGCACCGTTTGTGCTCCTGCTGCTTCACGTTGTTCACTTCCACTACCATCAGTGCCGAGATCACGCCAACAGCTCCCCCAGAAAACGATGCTACTATCGGATCAACTTGACTGAAATCAGGTGGACAGAAAGAAAAAAGAGCAACTCGGTGAAATTATATGAGGCTTCTTCCCTTTCTTTTGTTTTTTCTCGAAAGCAAAGCACGGTGAAATCGTTCCAGAATCTCACCTTAATTGCATAGGTAGATGGACACTGCCAATGAAATCAGCATATGAGGTGCCTCCTATGCCCAACTTCAGCTCAAGCTATTGGTACATGAAAAAAATGTAATAGGAGACCATTTGATGACTCAAAATTCACCGTTCTTGAAGATCATAATCAATGGAAAGGTGGGAAGCAACACTTACCGTGGGGGCTAGAAGGCCGCCGAAGAGGATGATCCCCGCGATAAGGGAAAAGCAAGTGGCATAATAAACTCTCAAATTGGCAGCACTCTGAAATCAATGTTTACACATCAACTTAGAACCTTTAGACTAAAGCAGAAGGAACCGATTTTTTGGCTGCAGAGATCATTTCTTGGCAGAAAGTGGTGAAGAAAAGAAAACTCACCAATGGAGGTAAGAACGGGATGAACGATGGGAAACTAGGGAGTTCGTTATCTCTCTCTTCGCCCGTGATACCGAGTTCGGCGTTTTTGATCCTTTGCTGTATTCTCAGCCTCCGGACCTGAGAACGTAATCCACTCAGAAGCACAGAACAGGGAGATACACATCTATACAAACCAAACCAATGGAACAGGTAGAAGAAACCATCTTCATGTTACAAACTATATAGGGTTCCTAGAAACAGTAAAGAAAAAGCAAAACTGTTCAAGCTCACCTCTTCCATGTGCAAGAAAATCTTGTTCCGCCTGCTTCGAATGTTGTCCTGAATCTCTTGTAGTTCCATTTTGGCAAAGTCCTGCACTGTTTCAGGCCCTTCTATGATACAAAATCTGCACAGATCAAGCATGAATGGAACTTGTTTATACGCTATGAACGAGACCAGGTTCCTCTCAGGTAAGTTCCTAACTCTAAGAATCTTCACTGAAGCTTGGGATCCCAAAAGCAAATTGGCCATTTCCTTACTATCATTGAACATTCTTCGACCAATAACAAAATCCATCACCAACATGATAGTTAAATCAAGGAACAGTCAGAGGATGGTAACAGGAAAACCCGAATCCGATTACCCGGCGGCGATTTTCTCGGCGGATTCTGAGTCAATCGAGGGAATTACAGGTGAAGATTCCGGCTCCATCGCCATTGATCGCCATCTCAACCTCCGTTCCCTCCTTAATAGCACTAATCCACAAACCGAAAACCGTGAATTGTACGGATGACACGGCTTCGGTGAAAAGGACAAGGACAAAACCCTACCCAAACAGGACATAGCTCCAATCCTCTTGAACCAGACCAATCTCTTCTTCGCCTGTACTTACATGTACATGCCTACATACACAAACATGGATGCGTATCTGTGTGTATACGTCCGTACGCCCTTACGGTCATTCCTCTGATGAAGAAAATTGGTGAGGGGAGAAAAAAATGAGAGCTTTCCCGAGGTCTGTTAGAAACTGCCACGTGGCAGGTATATATTGGAGCGTATTTATTATTTATAGATTTTTTAAAGGTCCCATGAATTGAAATAATATGATTTGTGGTGGCAAATAAATGAATACATTATAATTTGTGTCACATTGAGTAAGTTTGGATAAATATTTGTTTTCTTTTAATTTAATGCCAATTTTGTCGTGTAGTGTATGTTCTAACAATAATTACCTTTTGAATAAAAATCTACAACAAGATAATCTTTATAAATAGATACACGCATCCGACAATATTGTTATGTTTACAGTTACTTATTGGGTATGTAATAGACATATAAATAGTAATCCATGTTTTTAATATAGATTTGTGAAATTCCGAATATGTTCTTGGATAAAATCTTTGAATACCCATTGACGGGGAATAGTTCTAATTTAATTGGGCTGGGTTTAACCCAAAAGATTAAAATAACGCTATAATTGGGCCCATTTCCATCTTGGCCATTTCAAAACGGTGCGTTTTGTGGAGCTCCGCAGAAACCCTAAACCCGGCTCTCAACCATCGACGACACGACCGACCAGTGATGATGATAGAAATCAGATTATACAAAACAAAGCAAAGGGTTGTATATATATATATCTATATATGGTTGGGTTGTGCGTATAAACGTGAGTGGATGGAATAGGTGACAAG